CAAAGCAACCCTGCACGGCTTAAAACAGCGGGGGGGTTGGGGGGGGCGCAGCCCCCCCCATTTGCAGAGACAACGTTCACATGATGGGCTTCGAAAACACTCTTTGAATCAAGCTTGCACGTCTCGAAAAGCGCGGCGGCGGGTGTTTTGTTCTTCCGTGCCTGTTCGTGTCTCTTCTTCCGTTAGCATTCTAACCCAGAAGAACGACATAAGATGGTTCGACAACACAAAAATGGTGTGACATTTTCTGACATAACAGAACCTTGCTTCTTATAGCATATAATAGCATACTAAAAATACAACAATGCAATATAACAGAAGATGACATAGAACAAAACAACATCTTAGTTTATAGTGTAGTACATTGTAACATAGTACAATACAGCGTGTATATTTACAACATAATATGTAGTATATTTTATAACATTAGGTTACATTATGTTATATTATGTTACGGTACATTACGATATTATGGTAAATTCGATTGGACTATGTAGTATCCTGTTGCTTGTATCTTTGTTTCTGTGATTCTTTCATATTCTTTCTCTTTCGTCTTTTCCAACTTTGCTTTTTTATTCTGGACTTCTTTCTTTCGTTCGCTCGTTCATGTCTTTTCTTTCTTTCTGTTGTTCTTTCTTTGTTCATCTCATACTCCCTTCCTTTCTTTCTTGCTTTCTTTCTGGTTTGATTTACTTCGTTCTTTCTTTGGTTCGTTCTTGCTTTCGTTCTTTCTTTCGTTTTTACTTTCGTTCTTTCGTTCTCTCTCTCGTTCTATCTTTCTTTATTTCTGTTTTCCTTTCTTTCGTCCTCTTTAGATACAGCAATTTTTGAATTTTTCCCAGGGGAAACACTGTTTTCATACGGATTCGTCTTCATTTCCTGAGGATTTGCTTGCTTTTTGCTCGGGAAAACACGATTTTCCTACGGATTCCGTGGTATTTCCTTAAGTTTCGTTCTTTAGTTCTTGCTTTCGTTCTTCCTCTTGTTTTTGCTTTCGTTCTTTCGTTCTCTCTCTCGTTCTTTCTTTCTTTCTGTCTTTCTTTCTTGCTTTTTAGATACAGCAATTCTTGAATTTTTCCAAGGGAAAACACTGCTTTTCTAGGGATTTTCTTTCGTTTCCTAAGGATTTGCTTGGTTTTTCCTGTGGAAAACACGATTTTCCTACGACTATTTCTGTTGTTTCTTTATTAATGTATGGCCTTCCGTCTTTCTTTATTTCTCTGTTTTTGTTATTTGGTTATTTCTTCATTGTTTGTTTTGTTTTTGTTTCTAACTCTCTTTGGTTCTTTCCTTGTGTTTTCTTTTTTCTTTCCTTATAGCTTTCTTTATTTTCTTATTTCTCTATTTCTTGCATGGCTTTCTTTCTTCCTTTCTTTATTTCTTTCTTTCTTTTGTTCTTTCTTTCTTTCGTTCGTTGTTTCTTTATTTCTTTGTTTCGTTCTTTCTTTCGTTCTTTCTTTCTTCCTTGCGTTCTTTCTTCCTTCCTTTCTTTCTTTCTTTCGTTCTTTCTTTCTTTCTTTCCTTCGCTCTCTCTCTCTCTCTCTCTGTCTTTCTTTCCTTCCTTTTTCGCCTTCCTTTCGCGGATACCCGTTTAATTTTTTTTGATCCTTATTTAATTTTTTTTTGATCCTTATTTAATTTTTTTTTGATCCTTATTTAATTTGTTTTAAACCCCTATCCCGGAAACGGTTATTATTATTATTCTTCTTATTATTATTCTTATTATTATTATTCTTCTTATTATTATTATTCGGTTCAAAGCCTGAACTTGACCGCTGCGTTTGGGCTTCAAACAAAAGGGTCGATGATGTACCATGTCCTCCATGCTAACACGGTGTCTCTTGAGCACATGCACATGGGATGGAACACGTATGTGTATGCATCCTAAACTTCCTGCGAGAAGTGCGCGCAAAACATGGCACTGTGGACAAAAGAGAATAGTCTGTAGAATACCTTACAGAATACCCTTTCTAAAAACCTAAAAAGGAGTTCATACAACATACGGTACGACCTTCTAGAATAACCCCCTACATACCTTGTATAAAGCTGTTTGAACACCCTCTAAACTAGACAACACCTGTTAGAACACGGTTTAGAACAACACCTAGATATACCTTCTAGGCTAGCGGAATCTAGGATCCGTGAACAAATCGAAGCCTAAGGGATACACATAGAGAACAGAATACCTGATAACATCTCCCTTTACATACCCTATAGAATACCTTCTACAACACATTGTGGAATAACCTATACAATAGCTTTTGGACTACCTTATGCAATACTTTACACAATTCCCCCGACGTAGCCTACATATACCTTCTAGAACACCGTCTGGAATACCCTGTAGAATACCTTCTATGAGACCGCCTATAACACCTGTTAGAACACGGTTTAGAACAACACCTAGATATACCTTCTAGGCTAGCGGAATCTAGGATCCGTGAACAAATCGAAGCCTAAGGGATACACATAGAGAACAGAATACCTGATAACATCTCCCTTTGCATACCCTATAGAATACCTTCTACAACACATTGTGGAATAACCTATACAATAGCTTTTGGACTACCTTATGCAATACTTTACACAATTCCCACGATGTAGCCTACATATACCTTCTAGAACACCGTCTGGAATACCCTGTAGAATACCTTCTATGAGACCGCCTATACCCCTTGCATAATTACTATATATATATACACACACACACCATATAGCATGCCTGTAGAATACCTTCTGGGATACCCCTTATAATCCTCTGCAGAATACCCGAATACCCTATAGAGTACACTGAAGGTAGGGACTTGAAATATGCAAAACCATTCGGAGCCCAAGATCTGAGAAGCCCCCATTTCAATTCTAGCTTATTGGGCAAAGGATTACTATGACGAGAATCCAGAACCAAGACGAGTAGCAAGATGTTTACCTTACAGAATACCCCATCCATATATACCTTACAAGGACTTTACCACAACTTCATATAAAATGCCCATATTTTATGACATTCCGGTTTCCTTATGGAGCCCAAGATCTGAGAAGCCCCCATTTCAATTTTAGCTTATTGGGCAAAGGATTACTATGAAGAGAATCCAGAACCAAGAAGAGTAGCAAGATATTTACCTTACAGAATACCCCATCCATATATACCTTACAAGGACTTTGCCACAACTTCATATAAAATTCCCATATTTTATGACATTCCGGTTTCCTTATGAAATACCGGTTTAAAGCGGAAATCTATCTGCTGCGTTTTTGCTGTTTTACGGCTTGCAGAACATCAACACAGCGGATACTGATTAGAGTTAGTAGATAATTTGAGCGGTTTCGTTAGTGGTATTACTCAAAATGCTTGAAATAGTCTTAACACTAGTATAACTATTGTTATTGTCATTAGTAGTAGTGTTAGCAATTTATAGAGATGAGTGTGATAGAGGTAAGTTCTAGTCCAGTTCAGTGAGCCCGAAGGATGAAGGAGGTTCAGCGTTCTTGTGCAGTGGAAGAGAACCAAAATCACAAAAACAAAAAAAACCAAAACCAAAAAAACCAAAAAAACCAAAACCAAAAAAAACAAAAAAACAAAAATAAAACAATTTTCAGAAAGTCTTCTGTAAGTAGCATTATCCCGAACTCTTGATCAAGACTGTCTGAAAATTGATTTTTTTGTTTTTTTGGTTTTGTTTTTTTTGGTTTTGGTTCTCTTCCACTGCACAAGACAACCCAAACCCTTTCCCCAAACCCTAAAACCCTTCCGCCCTTGAAGACGATGCGATACGCGTCGTCGTCGTAGTGTGTTGCTTCGGTTTTCGTGAACGAAGTTGAACAGCGAAAACGCAGCGGTCAAGTTCAGGCCTCGAGCCTAGTGTTCTTATTATTATTCTTATTGTTATTCTTATTATTATTATTACTACTATTATTACTGTTACTATTATTATTATTGTTATTATTATTATTATTGCTATTACTATTTTTCTTTTAGTGTCATGGGCTTTGTCGCTGACGTCTCATCTTGCAGGGTTTAGGGATGTTTAGGGTTTTTAGCTCTCGCAAGTCCGAGAAGTCATGGCGACGCTTAAACGCGAAGTCCCAATAATAATAACAATAGTAATAATAATAATAGTAATCATAATAATAATAATAAGGTCAGCTTCTACTTGCCAAACTGGAGCCAAAGTCTTCTAGTGGGTGGTCGCTCTCAAAGAAACAACTCGCCAAAGTCCACGCATACTAAAACAACACTGAAAACTATGCACGGCAAGAAGCCAACACGTACGAGTCTGACAGGAAGATCTAGTCGGAGAACGGAAACGCAGGGGTGTGGTCGATGGGTTGCCGCAAGAGTTTAATCTGTCTTGAATCTCAACCAGTACGTTTCATAGTCGCATTACAACCCGCATCCTCCCGATTGTCGCTTGATTGCTACCGACTTCGTCAACATGCGAAGCTTAACTTAAGCATGTAGTTGACGGATATTGAAGGCTTCGCAAGACAGGAATACGACAGCTGATATGCAGGAATGCTCGCACCAGAGTGCACCCGTCGCCCTGGGCACGGTGGCGAGTCTGGCAAATGGAGGTTATGGCTTGGTCCTGCCTCGCTGTCAGATGCGAGAGCGCTGGTGAAAGACACCGCGGATGCCCATGCATGCAGTAGTGGGCGAACCATTGCTGCGACTACTAAGCACAGCTTGCCTGGTCCATGGCATGAAGCGGCTGATGTGCTGCTAACCTCTACGTACAAGGTAACTTACGGTGTAGTTACAAGGTAAACTTACGGTGTAGTTGCTGAGGTGGCTGATTCTGCAGACCGTGCAGCTGCTGGTCTGACATACTAACTAGATCATCTCTCGGTCATGCTTCTGCTGCAGCTCTTTGAACCTTTGAAGCTAAACACACGATGTACGGAAAGACCTGGGCGTGCTCACGACTCCGTACAGAAACAGTTTGCAGATATAGATCTATGATCTACTGTCTACTCGCTGCACAAAGCGTGCCGGCAGTGGCGGCCAGCACTGCGGTCGCCAAGCTGGGCAGCGGCAGCCACAGCTGCGCTGCAGGCCCCACCTTTGCACAAACCAGTCTTGCTACCACTCACAGCTCACGGCTAGGACAAGGCCCCCACTGGTGCTGCCCGTCAAGCATGCAGGAAGGCGGGCGTAGAAAAGCGTCGGGCCTTTGTCTCTTCACTGGCTCAACAGCTGTCAGTTTTCTTGGACCTTTGTCTGCCTGCGCATCCTAGTGCGTACAAGTACCCTAAATAATCGGATCCTTATTCCAAGGACCCCAAAATTAAAACATTGGGACCCTAATAGTACCCCAGATAGGAGGATCGTGATTATAAGGACCGCAAAATAAGGTACGTCTCATCATGAGCTCCAAGTCCACGGCCCGCCGGGAAAGTCAGCGAGCGACGCGGGAAAACCCAGAGCCACTTCTTCGAAGTCCACATGCAAGTGATTCGGAATGACGGAGCCTCGGCTCTATCTACTGGGCCTACTGGGTTCGACGTTTTTGGAAAACTGGAGCATGTTTCTAGTATGGTTATTCTGCTACTTCAGGGTAAGTTCCCGAACAATATAGCCCCGGAGCGCATCCAGTCCATTTCCGATGCCGTCGTGCTGTTGGTGTGGAAGATGACTACCGGATAGCGCCAGAAGAAGCGCGCCAAACATCTCAGAGAAAGAGCGAGGTCCTTGTGCAACACCTGGGCGTTTCCGAAAATAAAGGGCCACCTTCTTTAGGGTCCGCTATTTTCTGAAAAGCCCCCACCTTATCCGCGTTCTCCATCAAAAGGAAGACGAGAACTCCACGAGGACGAATCGACCCGCTTCTTTGGCGGGTGGATGCTGCCAGCTTCTCGTGGAGAACCTGGTTCTGTAGCTCCTCAACCTCCGGGTTCTTGTTAAGGAGTTTAGTTCAAGTTACCATAAAGAGGGATCTATAGTAAATAATATATGGTTTCCTTATCATAGTAACCGAAAAGTCAAGTGACCATAATAGGGATCTATAGTAAAATCATATATGGTCTCCTTATTGCGGTCACTGAAGATACATACCCTAACAAGAACCCAGACCTTCAGCTTGTCAAGGTAGTACTCCAGACACTCTTGAGCGGGAGCATCGCCTTGATAGTCGATTTGCAGCTGACCATCTTCCTCAGCAGAACAAAGTCTGGGTTCTCGTTAAGGGGTTATGTGCTCTCTAGATCCCTATTATGGTAGCTTAAGTTTAATATAGGTTCCCTCCCTGTTAAAGTGCATAGGGATTCGCGATTCTTTCCTGTAAAGATATGGGTGGTTGTTAAAATTATGGTTTGTTTTGGGGTCCCGATTGCAATACGGCACCTAATATTTAGGGTACCCACAAAAGGGACCATAATTTTGACAACTACCCCTATGAGAAGATCCAGCTAGTAAGGCTCTGTTTTCGACCCTTACGCTCGCACAGGGCCGGGAAGGCTCCGGCCAAGTCCGGCGTCTCACTATTGCTGCCGTCACATATCTTCAGTTGGTTCGCAGTGCCACTGATTCCACCGGGTTTCGATTTCGATGATCGGTGCCGGGGAGTTGGGTTCCTCTGCTGCCTGCACCCGGCCGCCCCGCCAGTACGAGGCCGCGCCAGAGGCTGCTGCGTCATCGCTGACAGCCTGGCCGGTCAATATGCGCCTCCGATGCCAATCGGAACCAAATCTGTACGTAATGTGTAGCATGCGTACATGCCGGCAGACAAACAGCTAGGAAGGCAGACAGACGGAAAGACGGACACTAGACGGACGGACCGACATGCATGCACTACCACGCAGTATGTGGCATTTCCATGCATCACCTCACATCACATGAATTTACACTCCATCCATCCATCGCCCACGCACTTGACCTATCCACCGATCATCAACCTATCTATCTATGTAAACTACGTGTAACTCACGAGCAGTCGCCTCGCAGAAGGCCGCCAGCAGCAGCCATGAACGCATGGAAAAAAACACGATCGAAAGCCATGCAAAAGAACATCGTTTTTGTTTTTTTTTGAGGGCCCTTTTCCTTCTTGCTACAGTCGGAAAAGAACAGGGTTTTCGGCTTCAGGGTTTTGGGGACTCTCGACTGGTCACAGACGGCTTATACTCTAAGGCCCCTGTAGTAGTTCCTTTTTGGGGCTCATATTTTTAATCCTACAAGGTAATCCCAGAAAGGAACTACTATGGGGCCTATGGGTAGGCATAGGGCTGAGGATTTCCAGCTCCATCGTTTCAGGGCTTGGCAGGCAAGGCATCTCGACGGTAGAGTAAGTCTTGGGAGTCCACAACGTAAATGGGTAACTCGTCTACATCGTCAAGCACGAGCCATTGGTCAAAAGTGCTGAACCAAGGCTAGAAATTTATACCCCAACTTCAGTCCTGGCTTTGGGGTTTAGAGATTGGTTCGGGCTTGGGGTTGTAAGGCTCAGGAGCTGGAGGCACATTCATCTCTACTCTTCGTCAGAAGGCGACTTCAGAGCCACATCAGAACGTCCCGGCGATCTGCGCGCGTTCCAAGCTGCTGGCCCCGCCACGACAACTGAAACACTTCGGGTCTAGGGTCTTGGGGCAGTTCAGGGCTCATATAATGACACACAAGATCCTGTTACCCGCAGGGCAGTGCCGAGGCTCGTCAAGTTAAACAACTTAGCGGCGCGACTGCACGCTGAAGTTCACAGGGAGGTGAGAAGTGGATGCAAAAGTGACCCCATCGGATCCGGAGAGGCAGCAGCCCTTCTCCTGCTCCCAGGCTCCCGTCTCTTGCAGTCCTCCCCTGCAGCCTCGGTCGCAAACCAAGCTCGAAACCGCAGACCGACGACCTGTTTAGGGTTGAGGGTTGAGGGTCTCAATGACCGGCACCCCCCACCACTGCGGCTGCGATGCGGAGTTGGCAGGCCACTAATGAGATCTGCCAATTTCTGATGGAAAGATCTTCATGGTCGTCCAGGACATAGAATAAATATCTCGATGATGAAAAATCCATCTTGTGCCTTGGCCAGGGCAGGCAACGAAGATATGAGCATTCTCACGTCTGCGTACAAGTTGGCCTACCTTATCGGTGCCTTCTTATCCGCTCGCTCTTTTTCTACAGTCCTTCTCTCTTCTTTATCGCTCTCTCCCGATCTCCTGTGCCGTGCCTGCACTTCACTTGTCAGTTCCCACTTGAGAAGACGGCAAGAGTGGCAAGCTTACCAAATCACGTTGAGTGTGAAATTTTGGATTTTATTTGATTTACTTGAAAATTGCTTTTCCTCATCCAATATGGTTTTTTACACCCTATTTCATTATAGTGCAGTCTATCTTATACTATCAGGTTATGCAATGCTGTGAACATGACGAGGCAGTCCCACCTCGAGCCGACAAGAAGAGCGGCGTGTCTGCACAGCATCGACCTGAGGCCGTTTTCGCGGGGGGATTCAAAAATTAGGGGCTCCATTTTTCGGCAAATCAGGGGCTCCCTTTTCCGTGACTCTTGTCATCAGGATTCCGGGATGAAAGGATTAAGGGTCTGTATCGTGGCTTCTTTTGTTTTTTGTGTTTTAGATCGTGCTTCGTGCTAAGGCCCCGACTGGTCCCGGACGTGCACCAGGGCATCGCATCGTAAAGCGGGCATACTAGAGAACACAAACTGCTTTGCGCGGGCCTGGGAATACTGATCCTCATGGTCTGCCGTACTTCAGTGTGCGCAGTTGCTGGACCTCAGCAGGCTCCGCAGCCTGAGGGCAGAAATCCATACGAGAGCTGGAGGTGCCACTCTAAACTTTCGGTGACATCAAACCCTGACATCCGCTCGAAGGCAGAACAAGACAGATCAGCAACCCGCGATCTGGTGCTATCTTCCGGACCCAGCCTCTTTGGGAGGAGTCGGACGGCTGACACGGCATGGACGTCCCAAAATGAGGCTCTTTGCTCAAGGTAGGTCTGGAAACAATCCCTCTCTCAGCAAGGAAAGACCAGCCTCAAACGGCTTGCAACAAAGTCGTGTTGTTCCACTGCCTTTGCATGCCTTTCCGCTTGGCAACAAGTTTTGCTCACGGAAAAACGATTCCGTCTACGATTCCCGGCTGCTTCTTAGGGGGGAGAGGATTGGCAGCTGGGGCTCGACTTTTCTTATGAAGTGCAGGGGAGCGGGCCTATGCCGGAGTACTTCAGGGTCATTAGGGCGAGTCGCAGCAGGACGCAGTGCTCATCTTCAGCTCAACTGCTGATCGACTTCACAGCCGCAGACGCCGCAGAAGCTGCGGCTTGCCCCACATTGTAGGAACTTTCGACGACGAAACGGACCCGGACTGCTGAGGGAAGTACCCTTGGCTTGCCTCGAAACTCGCAACGGCTGCAAGCAATTTAAAGGCTGATGATCAAGAAAGCCCTCATCGTTCAAAGCGAGACGTAGAAGCAAATTTGCAGTTCATAGCGGGAGATGCGCTAGGCTGAGTAGTCTGCACCCCGACACGTCCCAGATGGGCTGCTCTTCCAGCCCTCATCTCTCTCTTCACTGGCGAATACCGGCAGCACAAAGCGGGCCAGCAATGGCGGCAGAACTCCGGCCACATCGGTACCCCAGGTTTTCGGCTCGAGTTGATAAAGGGAATCGGCGAGTCGTTCAAAGCCAAGCTTCGTGAATGGAAGGAGCGAAGCCAGGGTGGCCAGTCACGCTCGCAGGCGCCTTCCATTCAGGAAGCTGCTCAACTCCACTGGGGTTTTCGAGGGCCAAGAACACCCACCAGGGCCCCTTTCACGCTTCGCGGAGCTGTGGATGAGGTCAGGCTGGCAGAGCGATGCCAAAGATGTCGGCGGACTTGTCTACAGTAGCCACCGTCCTAAAACGCAGCGAGAACAACGGTCAGCTGAAGTACACACATCATCGCCCGCAGTCAATCAGAAAACTGGCTCCCGAGTCCAACGTGTCTAGCACAGGCCCAAGCTCCTGCCAGAAAAATAATCCGGATCTTTCATTGAACCAGTTTCCGGTGGGACGTTCTGGCAGCTTCCAGAAAAGAGAAGGTCGCTGCGCAACGGTGGAAGTGTGGAACGTCTGAGACACCGCGCATCGGTATAGAAGTAGTGTGATCTTTCCCTACAAGTGGTGTGTCATCACCAAGTCCTTCCACAATCTCCGTGCGACATTGACTCACACTGAATCTGAAGGATGTTCCTACGAGGCTCTCACAGCTTGCCCAGGCCTAAGTCTCAGAAGAGACCGCGGGCCTGAAACCTTTGCCCGACGCCAGACTAGACTCTGGGGCATCTCGGGAAAGCCTTCCTGATGCGCAGGGTGCATGACGGCAGCGATCCGTTAGCCGCTGTCAGGGACTAGGTGCAGCCGTTAGGGACGAAGGACTGCATGCACCGGCATGGAGAAGCATGGCAGCTTGTTGCGCACGCACGCTGGGCCTACTTGATGCCCAAACAGTGCAAGTCAACGCTGACTAGTGTGCTTGGGACAATATCCCCTAGAATAACGGCATCGCCTCCTTAAAGCAGCTTCTCTTGCAGAAAGGCCAAAAACATGACGCGCTCAGGCCATGTCGAAGATGCTGTCTAGCTAGGTTCAGGAACAGTTGCTGAACCTGCCTTGTCTGAACAGCTTCTCTTCACCCCACAACCATGCCTTGGTTTCTCCGGCCACGAAGGAATTGGACAGCTCCCGAGTTCAATGGAGGCCCAGACAAAGTTTGCACACAAGCCTCAGCGACTGCGCATGCATCTTCTCAGTGGCCTAGTGATCCCCACTTTCGTCGGTTTCTTGGGCACCCGGTTTCCCTGCGAGGTGGTGACAATCATGTCTGCCACGGCAATCTGACTTGTTTCACTGAGTCACTGCCCGTTTGCAGCTTGCAGTCTTGGGGCTTATATCAGCGGGGTACTCTGTCCTAGCCGGGACATGACACTGTGACCAACGAGATGCAGGGCGACGCGACTGCCACGTTCGTGCCGCTTACAACACAAGCGCAGAATGCGGCCGTGGGGAGTGCTCCGGCTCCTTACCTTATTTGGGAGTGACATTGTTTAACGGATTGACCGTAACCGTTGCTAAGCCAGCAAGGCTGATGTAGGATTTAGCGGCAACGACGAGCTGACTAGCTGCCATTGAGGCGCCGCTTACACAAGCTTGTCGCTTGTTGAAATACATCTCTGCTCACTTGCAAGTGAAACGGATGCAGATGCGTGCTGGATGCCGTCAGCCGCAAGGACTTGCAGCCCCCGGCGACCTTTAGCTGGGCCTGCAAATCTGGAACTGGTCCTGGATTTGCACTGACAACAATCGCAGTCGAGCAGCCTTTTCCAACTAGCACTGAAATATCTTGCAAGGCATTCATGCATCTACTATCGTCCGACTGACGCTGTTTGCCACAGGATCTCTCATCTCAACTGATGTTTCGGGACCGACTCAAACTGAAACCTTCGATGAGATCATGCTACATGCGATGGCGCAGTCCGCCAGCTCGCAGATTACAGTCGCTTTGAGCACCTGCTTTCGAACGCATGCTGACGAATCTTGGTCCACTCGCCCACCACACTGTTTAAAAGCTGCTTACTCACTCTTGATCACAGCACCTAGGACCACTGGGACTTGGCATGGCGCTGCGTCGCTATGGCTGCTAGGGACAGACTGAGGGGTGCAACCGCCTCGCTTATCCTAACTACACCTGACACTGCTCCGACCTGGCGCCAATGTAATGCGGCGCACTTCGCTCGAAGTGCTGAGTGTGGACTATGCCCTGTCGATCAAAGAGGCTGCTGAGCAGTCCCCGAAGCTCCCGGCACAGAAGCATCGGAGGCCGCGGGAACGGTGGAAGGCTTGCGCATCTTGTGCATGCTGGCGGCTGGGGCTTCTCAAGTTAAAATCAGCGACATCCTGCAGCAGGCCGTCGCCCTAGGCTAGGAGGCTTGGAGAACACGGCCGTCAGAAGCGGCTGCGCGAATGCTTCCAGCGAAACACGTGTGGCTTGGCGGTCTCTGAGCCTGTGATCCATGACACGCTCCGCCATTCCTGATGCGTCGAAGGCAGGCGAGTCGTCTAGCAGCCCAGGCATGTCCTCCAGCTGTGGCGGTGCTGGCTCGGATCTTCTCGGCTTTGCCAGGGTGGGCCTCTGGCAGCCACCGTCTTGCTCCTGCTGATCTAGGACTTTTGGGGTGCTCGAAGGTAGGTTTGCCAATTGATGCCACGAACGGTTGGCAGGAGACACACCTGAGAAACAAGGTCTAGGGCTAGGGAGGACCCAGTGACAGTCAACAAATCTTGATGACGTTCAGTGGCGTAGGCTGCGGTTGATGGACGAGCTTGCTTGCGATCCGGTCTGCCTTTCTCGCGTCGGCCCGTGCAGGGACCTCTTGCCGACGGTGTGTTCGAACCGGTGGGGCGGGTCGGGGCACCTCAGTCTCAACCTTCGCGGAGCAGTCGGCAGCGTACTCCTGGCAGACTTGCGCCAAAGCCGCCACCAGCCAAAGTATGCCATCTCCCGGCGAAAGCTCTAAGCCGTCTTGCATGTCCCGTAGGTCTGTCTCGATCCACAGATGCTGCTGGGGTGCCAACTCAATCAACGCGCTTCTGGTGTCTCGCGCTTGGTGAAGAATCGAGCCTCCGTGGTCACCATCTCTGCGTTGCACAGGCCGTGCAAGAGACGGCGCTTTAAGCAGTGACCGCCTCGCCGGCCTACCTTTCCCACGCCGACGACCGAAGCACCTCCCAGACATCTACTTCGAGGGATCCTCTCGGGCACAGCCCGTCGTCTTCAGGACCCAGGCGGTAGGCTGGCTGCAGGATTCGCAGGCAGACCTCGACTTTGCAGGGTTATACTTCTAAGCCCCGTTGAAAACAAGACTTGCGAGGCGCCTTCCCTGAAGCCGAAAGATATATCAAACTGCATGAAGCATCAGGCGGCTGTGTCACAGCATTAGACTGCCGAGCTCTGCTGCACTGCAGACACACCAGTTTCGTGACTATCGGACCATCATGTCGTTTGCACAGTCCGGTCGTTCTATTTTTTTGGAGGTGCCAGAATGATCTGCACCGCCGATAATGTGTTCTGACACACAGCAAGACAGCTATGTCGATGTAGCCCATGCATTTGAAGCCTCTTTCCTGCAGTCATCCCGAAAGCATTGAATGGGATTTCATGTGACTCTTTGCCTCTTGGCCCTAGACCCTAACTAGGAGCCCCCACAGGCTTCTTAGGAGGTACGGCCTTGCAATTGCATCGCTGAACCACACTCAGAGGCGACGATTGACTTCCTGAGCCACTAGAAACTGAAGAATTTCTGACCTCTTGTAGTACCCAAATCATCTCCTCACTCCAGCACATTACAGCTTCCAGCCTGCAAGATCATCAACACAGCCTCTTCCTCTGATTGTCCATGCACGATGTGGCTTCCGCCCGATTGTTCACGCACGATGTGGCACTTCTATTACACACTCACCGGATACATGAGCTGAAACCCCTTTCAAAGATGACTTACTGCAGGTGGCTTCACTCTTGTCTACGACTGCGCCACTGCGGACATGCCGATCATCACAGTCTCTTGCTTGCTGCAGTACCTCTTTCGTTATGCTCTTAGAACGGACACTATGGTAGCCCCCTCGACTGGCAAGCATTGTTCATTTCAGGGCCGAAATGCCGCCGCCGAGAAGCCCATCATCCCACACAGGTGTGCTTGGCACCTGTTAACGTCTCGGCTCTGGCACATCCATATCGGAGAGCTTGCCAAGGCACTTCCTAACTCCTAGAGTCCTAGCACCCCCGGCCAGAGATCACCTGGAGGAGCGGATGGCTGCATGATGTCAGCGTCACTTTCCCAGCTTCGTTGAAGCTTCTTGGCAGCAGAAACAAAACGACGAAGCAACTCGACGGCAGTGGTTCAAGAACCCTTGCTGGCATGTAGTGCAGTCAAGACTAGAGAAGCCTTCATGTTGCAAAAACACCGCAAGTGCCGGCGACGACATGGTAGGACTCCCGTCCGGGACCAGGTTTTGCGAACCCGCCTCCGAGCGGTGCTGACATTGGCAGCCGCACACGTTATCGGGGTATGCAGGGTGGGCCAGGAAGGCGGGAGATGGATCTAGGGATGCTAAGGCCACGGGCTGACCGGAGAGGCTCTACGTCTGGTGGCTGAAGCTTTTCATAAGAGGCCCCGCTGCTGTCAACGCCGAGAAGGCGCGTCTACTTCGCCCCTCTGTGACATGCACAACTACTGTTTCACACGGTGTCCTCGAATACGGGGAAAAGCAAGCTGATGCGACCGCCGAGCGCCAATGCGACTCAAGCGACTTTGTCATGCATAGTCGTCTTTATCCTAACCATCGTGAAGGGGCTCAGGAAGCTACGCTCACCTGCCGCGGACCTCTTTCGACCTCGCCCTGTCGACAAGAGGAATGACCCGCATGGTGAGCCGCCGGCTCACTTGAGTTTCATGCTACCGGTGTGGTGGAAGTTGTCGGGCAGTAGCAGGTGCTGAGCGCGTACAAACGGTGGACAAAGCAGCGACCTTCTTCATTGCTCTTCTGTCTAGATGGCACTGTCTACCAAGAACATACCCTCTTCGGTCAGATGCCGGAGTAGCACGCGGATCTGTGAAGCAAACTTCCGCAAGGAACAACGATTAAGTGCAAGCACGTCGACACTAACATCCTGGCCCCTGTCTGCTCTAGTCTCGAAAATGGTTTAGACTGGTACCACCATGTACGGCCAGCAGGGTAAGCTGGCACCAGCTTACTGGAGCTGGCTTCGGGTGCGCAAAGGATCGTGGCTTTCGGGCAATGCATGGGCATGAAAAGAAACCCGGAAACCCTCACTCCAAGAATAAATACCTGAACAGCCTCTGGAGGCAGGCCTAGCCTACTACGTGTGGAAAGTCACCTCACCTATTCGGGGAAAGCACCGGTCACTGCATAGGGCTGCTACACCGGACGTTTGCACCGACGGATCAAGCTTCGATCTTATCCTGGCAACCCCGGGCGGGAGGTGGCTCAACGTATTTATCTCAACCAGTTTTGCAACGAAATGGCCAATGCCCGCAGCCCTCAAGCATCCATGTGCTTCAGGAGCGGCACTGTCACCTTTGTCAAAGACAGGACGTCGTCGGCTTCTCAACTCCACGCAAGTTTGGAAGGTCGAACACCGCCTTACAGCAGGGAGTCGTCACAACTTTCGGCTTCGATGTTCCCAGGCCCTCTCTAAACAGTGGAGCCATGCTTAGAAACACTCCTTTGCAGAATGCCCCCACCTGGCGGCAGCAGCTTCCCAAGGAAGAATCCCGACACGGCCTCCTGCGGTCTCCAGCAGCCTATCTGGCAGAGCTCGAAAGGCAAGGCCGAGGCATCTGACCGATCTCAAGACTGCCCAAACCCCCCAAAGTAGGTAAAATAATGGCCCAGTACTACCCAGAGAAGGCTATTTTTCGACATACTTTTGGGGTCCAGGTGGTCCATCCTTCTCTTGCCCGTCTCTGGGCTTTTACCATGGCCTTAGCCAACCGACGAGGCCTCCGAAGAACTCGCCGTGCCCTTCGTGTCCGACTCTTGTCGAAAGAACTGCTCATTGGAGCGCTACGAGTCGGGACCCCACAGAAGAGTTCGGCCTAGGCAGGTTCCTGGTCAAGGGAACTGGAACCTTGACAAAAGGGCTGCAGAACGACTTCTGCATGGATCAGAAGAAGCCCTTCGTGTTCTTGGCCTTGCTATTTTGCTGGGCCAGGGCAAGGCCCTATCCCAACTCTGGGCCCGAGCTCTGCAACTTAGTACAAGGCCAGAGCCGAAGCTGCGGAAGTCAAGAACCGCGACGTAACGCATGGACAAAGGAAGCCAGTGGCACAAGCACGCCTCAACAAAATCTGAAGTCTGTGAGGCGCGGCTGCCAGAGACATCCGTGCCGTGGCCTTGGCCATCATGGCCCTGCAGCTCCATGCTCCCTGCCCTCCAAGCAGAACTGGTGAGTCCAGTCGGCAATCTGGTGCATCCCTGGTTTCACCGGAGCTCTTGCAAGCGCATCGTGCGCCGATAATTGCTCTCGATCGCTCTGGCGTCATTTTCTTTGACCTACGCGCAGCTGGCTCCAAGACGATTTCTGCAACACCTCTGCTAGAAATGTCCATTGTGGAAGCTTCACAACGGCTGAAGAACGTCCATGCAAACGTCTTTGCTTTGGTTCGGCGCCGCCGTCGTTTGTACGATTTGGGAATGACCACATCTTTGTAAGAGCTCGTTGGGCGGCGTGAGCAGGCACCCGTGCCAAGCTTGCATTGAGAAGCCCCGAAACCACTCCCGAACTGAGGCCGGCAGCACACCGCACAGAGCCTTCTACGCAACTTCGTAGCAGGCCTTGCTATTTTCCAAGAACCCCCGATCCGATGCCAGCAAAGTTCAGCTCAAGTGCGGGATAACCCGCTTCGGACCAGGTTCCACACAACTGGTGCATGCTTTCACGGGGCCGCGGCTAAAGCAGTTGCAGTCAACTTCCTAGCCATCCAGCCATAGCTGAAGCATGCTCAAAAGCTCGCAGTCCAGCGCGACATGCCACACCTGCCGGACCGACGAAGCTGCGGATTCGAGCTGCAAGCTGGTCGTAGATGTGAAGTGCGAGGCATTGCCAGCTTGTCCGCTGCACGTGAAGCGGCGCGCCTCCACTCCTACAGCTGACTGAGCCAAGGCATGGAATTGTGCTCCGTCTGCAGCACCTTGCTAGGGACTGGAGCAAGCCGAGGAGGCTCAGTCATCGGAAGCTTCACATTCCTCAGCCTGAGCTGCAAACTACGATAACATTACTTAAATCACTATTGCCAGGACCGACTTGCAAACAGACAAAATCCAGTTCGAGCCCAGCAATTATTCGAAGCAATGCGTTGCGTAGCAGTAGCGTTTGAGGCAAACGTGGCTCCGATCAAGTGGGAAGGGCTATAGCCTGAAGCGGTCCAGAAAACGAACTTGACACCAGAGTTCAGGAAAAGCCTGCTATCAAGGCTTGTGACCTGGCCTGCAACCCTCCCACTAGTCTACCCTCGGGACCCTGGCAACTGCGAGACGGCTAGCATTCAGCAGCATGCGGGAAGCCAGCACATGGGATGAAACAAACAAGAGCGTCGTCAAGCTTCAAGCATTGCTGCACATGCTCCACAAAAGCTGGACACGCCTGCCGCACTCTACAGAATGCGGACACCTGAGCTTTCCTATAACGGGGCAGCACGCGGGGATCGCAATCTTACCCGACAATCGCTCAGACACCACCAATGGCATGCACTGGGATGGCATGCATGAGCACTTCGAACTTACAAAGACGCGCAAAGAGCGATTTAACCTCAGGGTCATTGTGTGAACGTGCTGGATGAACACCAGTGGTCCTGTGTGTGCAAGTAGGAACTGGAATGTCATGCCTGCAGTTTTGTGGTCCAGGCTAGCTTATGGAGCCACTTCGCGGAGGTCCTAAAACAGCTACACCTGCCATCCGCACTTTCGCCGGGTCAGTTCTAGCATTGGTAGACCTGCCGATTTTCTCGGGCACTTGGGACGTTGATCCACACTTGAACCGAGAACAAGCGCATATGCACAGGTTCCCCAACGCGCGTGCCTGTGGCAATCTGTTGGGACATGCAACGGATGAAATCGTGACAGTGGATTGTTGGCCAAGCTGATGTGGCTTAGAAGGGCTACTTCGTACCAAGCTCTGCAGCAAGCTGGGCATCGGCACGTGCGCCGTTCGCCAGGA